TCAGTGTGGAGCACTTGAGCCCTTCCCTGCACCGACACTCACACACCGCTATGAATGAAATTTACTACGCCGAGAATAATTTGTTTTTGTTTTCTTTTAATGTTTCCCATTTTCCCCTTGCTGCTTGTTGCCTTGGGGCAACCATTATAAGCGTTTTTTTTTCCGGCTCTTAATTTTCTTTTCTGTTAGGAGCATAATTTCTCATGTTTTTTATGTTTGTTTTTAATCATTTTTGTTTGCTTTAAAAAATTTTTGTTTCTTTTTTCTTTTTTTTTTTTTCTCCACTCTTTCCTTCTTTTTTGCTTTTTGGGGCAGTCACTGTGGACGTTTTTTTTTTTCTGCTCTTCCCTCTTTAATTGTTTGTTGCTGCACTCTTCCTGCGAGGGGTGCCGTGTGTTTCCCGCCCAACTGCTCCACTCGCACACCCACCGACACGCACATGACGACGGCCCTGTGCGCCTCGCCTGCTGCACGCATGAGGAGGGGCGGCGACGAACGGCGCGCTGAGGGAGCCGTGACGTGTGGGCGTGCGACGAGGGCCTGTGGGGCGGAGCACACATTTCTTCCCTCTTGTTTTGTTTTTTATGCGGTCAGGGCTGGCAGACACCCGCAGCGCCACACACACACAGCCACGCCCTGCCGCCGTGTTTTTTTTTCTTTTTTTGCTGCGCTCACTCCCCCGATGGAGAGACGCGACTCCCGTCGTGTCTGCGTGCTTCTCTCAGTCCCTCCACACACACGAGTGACTGTGCTCTGCGGGCCGCACTCACGCGCCGATGAGAGGGCTGAGGGGAGCAGCAACACGCAGATGACCCATGAAATATAAACGATGTGCGGACACACGGAGGGTCGGACAGTTGAAAGACATTTAAATATTTAATTTTTAATTTGTGGGCAAAATATACAAACAGTTTGGTGGGCCACACGGTAACCAGCTGCTTTTTTTTTGTGGTTTTTTCTTTTTTTTTTTCTTTTTTTTTTTCTTTTTTTTTTCTTTTTTTTTTTTTCATTTTTTTTTGTGTGGAACAGTAGTGGTGGACGACTTTTTTTTTCTTTTTATATAATTATTGTGTGCGAGGGGGTTTAATTTACGATGAAGGGGAACGTTTTTATTTATTTTAAATAAATCTTCTATGAATTGCCGCTGCCTGGTATGCAGTGCAATATCATGAGCTTGAGCAGTCTTTTTCTCGTTATTTCTGCCATGCACCACTGCTGTGCTGTTTTTGTTTGTGCGTCCCCTCACACGCTCTGCCTTTTCTACTCCTTTACCTCGTGTTCCTGCAGGGACACACACACAACCACAAAAAATGCAGATTGCAGTGGATTTGGATGCTTCTTTTGTAGTGTGTGCTGGCGGTTGCGGGTGGCTGCCGCCTCTTTCCGTGGGCATGAAGGGAAGGAAGGAGGAGAGGGAGCGCACACCGCGAGTCAATTTTGCTGTTGGCGTGATGCACCGCCTGCGACTTATTTGAGTTGGGCACTGAATCCCAGTGTGGGTGTAATGGCTGGAAATTTTGTCGCCGCGTCATGGCTGGGTGAGGATCCGCTTCCGCGTGTGGCTCTTTGGACGATTGCTTGCTCCGTGTGCGTTGTGTTGGCTGCTGGGCTGTGGCCGTACCCCGTTGTCCGTGGGACTGAACTGGAGACAGTGGCTGTGTGTCGCTTCTCCTCGCCCATTGGTGGATGACTGCTGGCGGTGTGTGCGTTTGTTGTGTGGAGGGCCGGATCTTCTCACCCGCGGACTGGCAGCACTGCGATGGTGTGTGTGTGTGAGGGCTGGTGTGGGGTTGCCGGCCAGCGCGAGGACCGTGGCGGTGCTTTTCCCGCCCGCAATTTGTTTCTTTTGTGTGTTTGCGCTGCTTCTTGCTTTTTTCCCTTGTCACCATTTTCTCCTGTGTTCCTGCGTGGAGTGGCCGCATGCTCACGGGCCATGTGGATTGTGAGTGCCTCTTGACGGCATCCATTCATCTCCCTCTCTCTGCCTGTCTGCCTGTCTGTCATTCCCTTTTGGGTGTGGCGTGTTGCACCGCGTGAGGGCTGGCCCGCACACACCGACGGCCCGCCGTGGCTTGCCGTGTTGCTGCTCTTTTCTGTGTGCGATGGTTCTCCGTGCCGTCCCTTCCGGATTGTTTTATGACTCGCTCTCTGCGTGGGTGCTCTGCTCTGCTCTCCACTGACCTTTCTGGTGTATTGCTGCTGTTGTCGCCTTCTCCACTTCTTGGGCACAGTCACGCTAGGAAGCTACGACTAAACGCGAATCGCTACTGTGTGAAATTCGAAGGCACTGAAAGGACCAACAGCACACACACACATATTTATATGCTCTCACGTGTTGCTGCAGTGAAGGCACCCCGCACACACAACCGTCGCCGCGTGACCGGATCCAGCGGAAGGAGGAGGGAAGGAAGAGAGAGCGAGTCGCGGAGGCCCAACATTTCCCGGCGTGTGTTTGCTTCCGTGGTGCTGCTTCTTGTGTGACGTCGATGTGCTGCGCCATTTGTGGGGGGAGCGGGGAGGTGACAGGAATGATTTAATAAATATTCATGAGTTGCAAAGGGTCGATCTATTTGTGCCTCAGACGACGCTGGTGCTGCCGAAAGGTGGAACTTCTCCAGAAACGACGAGGGATTCATTTGTTTCCCCATCTCTTGTCAGTGCTGGTGGAGTGTTTGCTGCTTTTGCCGCATGTCACATGAATGTCGAAATATCAAGATGATCAATTAAATAAGCCCCTTTCTTCTGATGTTGGTGCGGGG